CGTTTGCAGAATTGGGAGAAGGTGAAAGGCTGTTAGAACTCCCATGAATAAGAACTCAAGGAAAGATTTGGCTGGGGACTACAGCAAGCGGGGGAGTGGTGGGGGTAAGGCTGGGGTGAGACTCATAGCTCTGTTTTCTCTGCTAAAACAGAGCGCTCCCACTCCGTACCTTAGGAGAGCAGACGTAACAAATAAACCCCAGTACACAATTCCTCAATACCCCTGGTTAGGAAGTAGAATCATAAACCACTTAAAGCTAGGCCCAACATCTCCCTGCGAGACTCCACTGAAAATTGTGAGCTTGTAATGAAGCTTGGGGGCAGCCTGAGGTCCGGATAAAGACGCACACAGCAGTTGCATCCTTTAGCAAAGGGTTCACTGCCACCTCCAATGGCAAATCCAGCATTCACATAATATTGCCTCAGCAAAGTTTCCATGACTATTGTTTTTATTGTGTCCCTTAGCAGACTGCCTTGGAAACATAAATTTTTCCCTGCAGCCTTTGCGGCCCAAACATGGCAGCTTTCAGAGCCGGGAAGTGAAACGGACCGCAAACTAAACCCAATAGACTTTGCTGAGTTTCACGATCTATTCTTCAAGAAACCAGTTTGTTCACTGACAGCTCGCGAAGGCAGCAGCCTCTTTCCAAGTGTGGCTTTCGTCTCAGTGAGCCGCTGGGAGGCAGGTTGTCCAAAGGTTGTCGCCGAGGGCAGAGATCCGGTCATTTCCCTTCTCCAAGGCTCACCCCTACCCCCTCCCGCCCCCGCTCCCGCAATGATCCTGCCTGACTTTGCAAAGTTCTTTGAATTCTATGGCTATTACATGCAAAGGGGCACTAAACAATCAAATAAAGGCCAGCCCGGTTTCTCTCCTGGCAGCACAACAGTGCAGTGGGTATCGACTTGGCTGTTTGCTCGGGCAGCCAGTGGCTGGAAGGGCTGAGGCGGCTGGGGAGGGGAGCCGGGAAGCGGGAATAATGCCCTCAGCCAACAAGGAGCCCCAGCGTTATTTACTTTGATATGAAATACAACACAGTTTTATGCTGTGCCCGCAGCAGCAGGTCAGAGCCGCAGGCTGCCTGCTAAATTCCTCTCGGATGGGGGCAGCAAAGTCCCCTGGAGTCCAATGTTCCTCGTATGAAGAGAGACAAGCAGCCAGCAATTTGTTCCCCGTTGTTTGCACTGCTGGGGGTTCAGTCTCCTGCCCTGTCACATGCCAGCACTATGAACTAGCAAAGAAGGGGTGGGTTAAATACAGGGCTACCCCAACACCCAAGAGGAAGGGGAGAGCCCAGTATTTAACTTGGGACTCTGTCCAGGTGGCTGCAGTTGCTGGAGCCCAGCTCATCCCCCATTTTCCTGGTGCCCCTCAATAACTCTCCCATGCACAACGTGGGCCCTTGGACTCCAGCGCCACTGGCCATGCTACAGCGAGACCAGCTGCTGAGCTACCTAGAACAGTCTGTGGCAGGCTGGCTCCTTCCAACCCACAGCACTAAAGGCCTGCCCCACTTCCTGTTCTCCACAGAATGCTCACTGGAAGCTCCTCACGTCTAGTGCTTCCTAAGGGGTTTATGAATCCCTTATAGCAGCAAATTAGAGGAGTGATTCCCTTACAGCAGCCACTCAGTCTTTATGTGCTGGAGGTCCCTGTTGGTCCAAGCAGCGTTGGTTACCACATTTTAAAGGACGCCCTGGTTCCTCAGGTCATGTCTACGCTCCAAACGTAAGTTGACCCGTCTTAGTCGGCATACAGCCTCCAGCGTAATTACAGTGTGTGTCTGCACTTTGTGTCAGCAGAGCTGGGCAGTTACATCGTTGGGAGCAAAATTTAAGCATGGACCCTTTGTTAGGCCAATGTAAACTGTGTTGAGTCAACCTAAGACCTTGTCTCTACTCACTGGAAGATCAATGCTCCAGCGATAGATCTTCTGGGATTCGATTTAGTGAGTCTAGTAAAGACCTGTTAAATCAAATGCTGAGGATGCTCCAAGCCTGTTAAATCAAATGCTGAGGATGCTCCCATTGACTGTGATACTCCAAGCTGTCATGGGGAGTAAGAGGAGTTGATGGGAGCATTTCTCCCATTGACCTCCCGCTGTGGGGCTGCCCCAGAAAAATTGGTGCAAAGTACGTCAACTCAGCTACGCAATTCACATAGCTGGAGTTGCATATCTTGCATTGATTTTTTCTGCCTAACTCTGCGGAGCTGGCCAGACTTCAGGGTGCCACAATGCTCTCTTTACAGAATATACAAACTGCCAGTTGTAACAGCTGGTAATTAATAATTTCCATGAATACTACTAGTATTAGAGCAGCACGTAATACCAGGGCTCCATTGTGCTAGAGGCTGACAGTCACAGTGAGAGGGGAAAAGGCTTGCCCAATATCACATAGCATCTCATGATGCTTGCTGGGAATAGAACCCTGGTACCCTGACTTCATGCCCATTAAACAACACTTCGGTTGCCTGTGATTTTCTTCTGCTCCAAAACTCAGTCCGGAGAAAATAAAATTGAATTTCAGAGCTATTTGTTGTTGAATAGTTCACTCACTGCAGGAGCGTCCCCTCATGACTGGATGTGGTATCAGTGCTCTTTCCTGTCTAGCACCCTTCACGGATGGTCTTCTGACATTGCACCTCCATATTTTATGGAAATATGTTTTTGAACATGAATATGCCTAACTTAAATATACTTTATGCAAAATGTGTCAGGTAACCTATCATTGGAGAGCGTGTAATCCCCTGGCTGTGTATATTTTGTGTGTGTATATGTATCATTCTTATTTTTGAAGTTAGAAATATGAATTATAAACCTATTTATATAACTAGATGTGCTAATGAAAGCCTTTAGTAGTACTCAAGGAACTTAACAGCCCGGTGCTCAAGACAATGATTTGTGAATAGTCTTGTTTTTCCCGTAAGCCTAAACTATGGTTGGTCCTGCCAAGACATGCAGTCAGGTCACCTGATGCTGGAACCCATTTTGAATGTGGTACTTTTCTATGGGCATGTGAAAGGCTTGAAGTTGAACAGAGAGGAGTCCCTTTTGCCTTGGGCAAAATCTATTTATGGGCAGGGACCCAAACAGTAAGGGAATTTGCAGTTGGGGGACACCAAGACACCCCCTGCTTACCACCAAGATGACTGCAGGAAACATCTAAGGCTGAACGGTGGGGAGGATTATGCTTACCTGGAATGTTCTATTTTAATTAGCTTAGTAGCTTAATTTGATCTGCCTATCACTTGTAACTACCTAAAGCTCACTTTTTATATTTGATAAAATCACTTTTGTTTACTATTAAACCCAATGTAAATAATTGTTACCTGACAGCTGTGCATCTCGCTCTTTCATTGGTAAAGGGAGTGAACAACATATGCACTTGCTCTGTATTAACTTTTATGCAGAGTAAGACAGATTTATCTGGGGTTTTGGTCCTAGCCAGTTTCCTGTGATTGAGCCTTCCCAGAGCTGGGCTGTTCTCCATGTCTGTGTTGCAGAGTTTAAAGGAACAGTTAGACTTCCAGGAAGGGCTGTTGGAGAAGCAGGTAGAGTAGAAAGACTGAGCAGAAGGGGAAAGGCTGGGAGTTGAAAGTCATCAGCACTGAGACAATAAATGGTAGAGCATAAAAGGTTACCTAGCGAGAGAGGATAAGGTGAAGCAAGTAGGGGGCTCAGTCAGGAGGAACATCAATGAAAGCAGGTGAGAGGAGGAGCCACTGCAGAAAAAACTGAATGAATAGTTGGGTGTGAGATATTAGAGCCAGGGGAACCCAAGGAGAGAACAGGAAGAAGGAGGGAAAGAAGGCAATGATGCAGTGGATTGATGGAGGAAGAACAGGACAAGGCTTGGTCAAGAAGAGGTTATGGGGGTGAAGAATGGTTTCAGAAGAGTAAAGGGAGCAGAGGCCAGATTGCAGGGAACCACGAGTACGATGTCTACACAACAGGGCTAAAGCCGAATTAAGCTACGCAACATCAGCTAAATCGAAATAGCTTAATTCGGCTTTTGGCTCTGTCTACACTGCAGGAAGTCGAAGGAAGAACACTCTTCCTCCAACTTCCCTTGCTCCTCGTAAAATGAGGATTACAGGAGTTGGAGTAAGAAGTCTTCCAGGTCGACATTATTTCAAAATGAAGACTTGTCGTGTAGACACGCACTTTGTTATTTCGGAATAACGTCAGTTAGACTGAAATAACACTGCTGTGTAGCCGTAACCCATGAGCACTAGAGGAGAGGAAATCTGGAGGGTGAGAACAGAAGTGCACTGAAGGAATTTAGAGGCAAAGTTAGGATGGGAACAAGTCAAGAGCAGGGTAGACAAAGAGGGCTGAGGGTGGATTCTGAAGATGGCAGAGATTCCCAGATTCTGTAGGAGGCTGCTGGAGAGTAGCCAGAGGAGAGAGGAAGGGCCTGAGGGGAATCAGACATTCGGAGGGAGGGGTTAAAGGTGGGCACATGGTCAGAGACAGTGGCAAGTCTCTGGGCAGGGATGGGAAGAGGCTTTGAGAGGAGTGCAGATGGTGGAGGAGCATCCATGTAGGCTGGAAGGGCAGGAGTCAGTCGGGGAGAGTTGGCCCTGCCCTTTCCCCCATGGTGCTGAGCAGTGCAGGAGCGGAGGAATCACAGGCCCGATGAAAGGCTGGGGTTGGTGGGGCAGACAGAGCACTAGATGGGGGGCACCCGTACATCTCTCTGGCCACAGGTGCAAAGCTTCCTGCCCTCTCACATCCAAGTTTGAGCTGGGCCATGGGAGGGTCATGTAGGTCATGAGGGAAAGGCCTTTTATGGCATTTGTGGAAAATTCCAGCCCCTCTTAATCCCCTGTGAGACCGTGACATACAGGAAGGAACCAAACAGGAAAGAATTAGAGGAAAATGCCTCTCTTCTTGTGGCCACCACGGCTGTGCCAGGAGTTAGCAGCATCCGCCAAGCAGTCAGCCCTGTCTCCCTCCTCCCCCAGCTGCCTCTGTAAACACACGGGGCTTACTCCGAAGATTAGAAGGGAACGGCGCAAAAGACAAGAGTCTCTTTTGTAATGGGAGCGGGATTAAAGAATCAAGTGACCGGCTGCAGCTCCCAAGTGGGTTCCAGGCTCCTTAGAGCACCCAGTCTCTGTCAGGTTCAATCCCCCATGAGCCGGGAGGGGCAGTGGAAGGAGGGGGGTCACGTGTGCCGACAAAGGACCCAGCAAAGACACATGCAGAACCAAACTTCCCAAGTCTTCGGTGCAGTCAGGAAGCCTGTGTCGGTAAGTACCCAGGGGCTTTATCACATGGGTGGAGAAATTCCTCCAGGGACTGCTGGTGTGATCTATCTACGGTATTGTACCATGCACATCCCCAGGCTGTATTAGCATTTGTCTTTCTGCTGGAGGCACTCAACGGGGTCTGCTGGTCTGAGGGCTGTGAGAGCTGGTAAATGTCCATCCGCGTCCGGCTATGACGGTTATTCCAAACGGCGTGACCAGTTCAGTGAGTAGACAGGCAGTGGCTGTGTAGATGCTGGGAGCACAGCCCTTGCTGATACAGAATGCCGGGCCGGCGGGTAGCTGCTGTGCAGACTCAGTGTGCATGATTTGCAATGATTGGAGTTTTTAAAATCTCTTTCTGCTTGTCTATCCCAGATCCCAACACGGATCTTGCACTGCCATCCCCCACCCCAAATGGCAGAAAAAGCTGCCTGTCCAGTCCCATTCTGCAATATTTCCACTCCCATGGGCAGGGAAACTACCGTCACCATTCAGAGTAAAAGAAAAAAAAAACCACCATGGGAAACAGTCCATGCCCTGTGCCTGCAGCAGAGGAATTAGATGGAGGTGGGAAACAGCCATTATTTACATAGAGAAGAGCTTAAGTTTTCCATGTTTGGTAAAAATTTATCCTGCATTTGAGTTATGTAAGGAAGAGTCTCCCTGGGCGCTTTGAGACATGAAGGGAGCGTCTGCTAGACACACCACCCAGCCAGCTCTGGGTAATAGGTCCCTGAGATAGCTATGTGAGTGTGTGTGTGCATAGCCACTGTGTGGGCAGGCTGTGGAACAGTTAAAGCTGCCACCAGCCTTCTCAGTCCTCGAAACGCATCTGAAAAGATACGTGTGCAATGGGCATTGCCAGAGGCGTTATCGATGTGGCGGACAAAGGTCCCAGCTGTGCAGGTTTGTGGTGTAACGGTGTGGGCTGAGACTCAGCTAATTGTCACTGACAACACAACTCAAAATAGGCTGGCACAGCAGTTGCATCAGGAAGAGCCATAACACTGCATGTGTGTGTGTTCCTTCCTGGGACGTAGGGTCTCCGAGCTGGTCTTTGAGATGGTCAGCAAGGCATATTTCCCACCAGATTCCCAGGTCCACTCCCCAGAAGGAGGGCTGGTTGCATGTTTTCAAGGTCATCTGCAGGTTGAGTGCATCAACAGGGAGTGTGCTTCAAAAATGTGTGTGTGTGTGTGCGCGCGCGTGTGCGTGCACAAGCGCTGAACCTAATTTGGGGTAACACATTCACAAGTAGACAAAAGTTAGCAGCTTTAAATATGGATAAATCTTCATGAACTTGAAAAAAGAATCCCCATCTATATTTCTCACTGTGTAACTTGGATTAATCTGTCCAATTGATGCCTGCAGGGCTTGAATTGCTATTTCATTGCGTCAGTTTTACGGTGGGGTGACTCTTACTATTAATTATTAGTACTATTATCATTATCGTGCACTCAAGGTTGTGTTAGAAACCTAATCGCAATGTCATTAACAGACACAGTGCTACTGGAGGGGCTGATTTCACAGTCTGAACTCATTTTTCTCCCTCCACATGATTCATGAAGAAATATTATGATTTAATAATATGGTTGGAGAGGTACTACTTGAATGGCTTGCCTTCTAACCCTGGGCATGCTCTGTCTCCCCACACTCGAGTATGGGCTCAGGGGATGCTGTACTGTCTTTCAAAATTGGGACAGATCCATCCACCCAGCAGCATTAGGGTGGTTCTGTTTAGGAGCAAGCACGGTCACTAGCTACTGCTTGGCAAATACTGCAGAACGTTCTCCCTGTGCCTTTATTTGGATCTGTGAAAGCCAGTGTTCTTGTAACTTGTGTCTTCATTTTCCAGGAACATTCTGGGAACAAGCTTCCTGGGCAGGCAAGGTTGCAAAAAGAGCCAGTTCTTAGTAACTAGTAGAAAAGATTCACGGGAAGCAACATTTGGATTCACCAACCTGGATCTTCATAATACACTTCTGATCCTAGGAGTTAGGTTTATCCAATCAGGGAACAGAAACTATACACACAGGATCTAGGTCTTGTACAACCAACCCACCTGGCTTGCGGAATTGCAAATGCAGCGGGGATTTAAATTTTCCCCGCTCCATTTGCATGAACATGGCTGCAGTTTTTTTCCGGCTCGGGGCTTTGCTGGAAAAAAGTGCCAGTCTAGACGGGGATCTTTCGGAAAATAAAGCCTTTTCCGAAAGATCCCTTATTCCTCTTAAAATCAGGAATAAGGGATCTTCCGGAAAAGGCTTTATTTTCCGAAAGATCCCCGTCTAGACTGGCACTTTTTTCCAGCAAAGCCCCGAGCCGGAAAAAAACTGCAGCCATGTTCATGCAAATGGAGCGGGGAAAATTTAAATCCCCGCTGCATTTGCAATTCCGACTTGTCTCATCTGCATCCCTTTTCCGGAAAAGGGGTCCAGTGTAGACACAGCCTTTGTGTATTATTTAGTCCTAATGAGTTGAGACTACTTCTAGATAACAGTTCAGTGAATACTTTGCATAGCAAATAAACATTAAAACAGAGGTGAGGAACCTCAGGCCCCCCGGAGCCTCCGACTTGCCTGGATCAGGCTCCCAAGGCTCATGATTCCCCCCAGCACTGAGGAGACCATGCTGATGCCTCCCACTGCCCCACCTTGGGGCTGGAGCACCCAAAATCTACTAAACTGGGCCCCCCTAGGTTCTGGTGTGAGAGGAGAATGTGGGGAGTGTTTTTCTCCTTCTCAGTCAGGGGCTATGTCAGTGAGGGTTTTGCATTTTTCCACCCTTTTCACTTGTATGTGGCCCCTGATGCATTTTTCTGTGGGTCAGCAGCCCTTGAGCCAAAAAAGGTCCCCGCCTACCCCTGCATTAGAACACTGTTAGCTGCTCACAAGCAATTCATGGTCAGAAAAAAGAACGGAGTGTTTGCTGTAAACGATTCACCCCTCTCTCTACTGTGCTGCAGGAGTCACCCCGAGGGGGTGTTGGGGCACGTTATTGCACAAGGTGCTGTCTCTTACCCTCAGCATGGTGTCAGGGACGTGGCCTTGCTGGAGGTGGGTATATGCCCCCTTCCAAGCCTGGCAAGAAGAGAACAGATGCTGCTGTGCCATTACCATGCCTTCAGCGCCTAGACACGTGCGGGGGCGGGGATGTGCCCTTTTCTCCCCGTCTGATAATTGGTTTCATTGTCATGGGTCCTTAATTCCCCAGCGGCCTGAGGCAAAGCCCACTGAAGTCAAGGGGACTCCTTCCTCGGTCACCTTAGTGTTGGTGAAAGCTGTCTGGGCAGCAGGGACCAGTCTAGGGCCTGATCCAGAGCCCTTTGAAGTCAATGGACTAAGGCCTATGCATTGGCTGCCAGCAAGGAGTCAATTCTCTGCTTTGGAATGTACTCCAGAGATGACTTGACCTCAAAACCTCCCCCAGCAGAAATGCAGAGTGAAATGTCAAATAAAATAAACACCGGAAAGCCGTAAACTGTGATACTGACAAAGTGCAAGGAAAGGCAATCCATCAAAGGAGCGGTCCCCTCCACCCACACAGTCTGAGGAGAATTCAGCCGCAGGAAGATTTCCATTTCCTCCACCCTTCACATGTTCTCCTTGGACAAGTTGTCCTGGCGGAGGAGGAGGAGAATTCCTCAGAGCTGTGAATGGAGCAGGATGGACAAGAACATGTGGATGACTTTTTCCTTCCACACCCCAGCCAGCACCACCGCCACCGCCATCTCCACACACACCCACACTCACTTAAGCTCATCAAAGAGCTGCAATTCAAGCCAGAGCTTTCATTTGTGGGTGAGCGTACTTCTGAGGATCAGCACGCTTTGCTGTGCTCTGATCTGTCTAAACTATCCCCACTTAGCCCTGGATACATGCCCAAGCCTGGTTTAAAATATGTCTTAACATGCTCCCACCCTCCCCTTCTCCACCAATCTATATCCTGACTCTACCTTTACCCTTCTAACCCTGCTTCCCCATTTTCTTTCTTTCTTTCTTTCTTTCTTTCTTTCTTTCTTTCTTTCTTTCTTTCTTTCTTTCTTTCTTTCTTTCTTTCTTTCTTTCTTTCTTTCTTTCTTTCTTTCTTTCTTTCTTTCTTTCTTTCTTTCTTTCTTTCTTTCTTTCTTTCTTTCTTTCTTTCTTTCTTTCTTTCTTTCTTTCTTTCTTTCTTTCTTTCTTTCTTTCTTTCTTTCTTTCTTTCTTTCTTTCTTTCTTTCTTTCTTTCTTTCTTTCTTTCTTTCTTTCTTTCTTTCTTTCTTTCTTTCTTTCTTCATTTTCGGAAAATCGCATCTAGATTGGCAGGATGCTTTTCCGCAAAAGCACTTTTTGCAGAAAAGCGTCCGTGGCCAATCTAGGCACGCTTTTCTGCAAAAAAGTCCCAATCGCCATTTTCAACAAATCTCTGCTGTCTACACTGGCCCTTTTGCACAAAAGTTTTTCGGAAAAAGACTTGCCCGAACGGGAGCAGCATAGTATTTCCGCAAAAGCACTGACAATCTTACATGAGATCGTCAGTGCTTTTGCGGAAATTCAAGCGGCCAGTGTAGACAGCTGGCAAGTTTTTCCACAAAAGCAGATGATTTTGCGGAAAAACTTGCCAGTCTAGACACAGCCCACCAGTACCAACGGTCCCAGGGGCCATACACCACTTCTCTGGAGTCTTTTTTCAGACCTTCCCCCCTCCAACCTCATTTGCCAATCACCCATGCTCTCGGTCTGTGTCCAGTCTCCGCTGGAGCACCAGGCGTGACTCTTGCCTCCATTCCTGCCTTCAGATACTTTCAGCTGGTTCTGCCACCTACCCAAGGGGAACCACAGAGCTCAAGGAATAGGTAAGGAGCCTTTTGCTACTAGGCCACACTATATACCTAAGCCAGGTGAGTTAGCAGCTGAATATTGATACCACTGAGTGGTAGGGCCACCCACCAATCCTAACACAAAATGGCCTTCACAGTGCTTTGTCTTGGGAGGGAGGGAGGAAGGGAGGAAGGAAGGAAGGAAAGTGTAAAGCTGGCCAATCCTTCCCCTGCATCACTGCAGCAGATTGGATTGTCCTGGTAACTGTCTCTGTTACTCCCTGCAAAGAGACTTGGACCCACCATCAGCTTCCCGCACAGCACAGGACCCTGTCAAGCTTCTTCCTTGCAACCAGGTTTCCTCTGTTGTAGAAGGCAGCGGGTTAGGTGGCTGGCTATTAGGGTTGCCTGGTGTCCGGTTTTGAACCAGACAGTCCAGTATTTGAGCTTTCTGTTCGGGAAACAAATTGAGAAAATATAAGTGCGAAAATAGAAATGTCCGGTATTTTCTAAATAAGGTGTAATGTGGATTGTGATGTCATGTCAAGTGTGTCTGGTATTTTTGTTGAAACCATCTGGCAACCCTACTGGCTATGGATCTGTGTTACAAGACCAGTCTGGCCCTGGATTTCTGCAATGGATCCTTTGAAGAGTCCTTAGGGGAAAAAACTATGAAAAACGTGGGGCGTTTTTGCACAAAGATTCATTTTTCCTGAGAGGGCAAATCCACAAATGCTGCAGACACCCAGACATGGAGGTGATGGGCCTGGCACAAACACCTAGCTAGATAATGGCAAATCCCAGAAAACAGAGCTCTCACCTTTTGCATTAAATGCCTGGGCTTAGTGTCAACCTCGGTCATTAGAAATTCAGCTGCCCACCTCCACCCCGCTCATTGGCCGGCCTCTCTGCTTCTCGATGTTGTGTTAGCCTTTGAGAAACAGGCCTTGCCCTGAGTCTCTGCATTGGGTTTCTGTGCCTCCCTGACGGGGTCTTTGGTGTGGCCCCAGGGCGGGAGGAGCCTGCGCATAGTTGGGATGGACTCCTAGACGTGCTGTTTCTGGAGCGTGTCCCTGCACTCCGCAGCAATCCCTCACCAGCTCAGTCCCTGGCTCTCCCCCGCTGGCCCGCCTCCCTCTCCCCCTTCGCAGGTCCTTCTGATGGCCGCAGAGTCTCCATGTTCTGTTTCGCACAGGCTCTGTGATGACGGTGACATACACAAATCGAGTAGCTGATGCTCGCCTGGGCACCTTCTCGCAGCTGCTGCTCCGATGGAAAGGGAGCATCTACAAACTCCTCTACTGCGAGTTCTTCATCTTCATCACCTTCTACTTCAGCATCAGCCTCACTTACCGGTAAGCTTCCTCTTTCCTCCGCGCCCCAGGAGAGCCAGCCAGACTCTGCCCGCTGTTCCCACGGGTGCGGGGGCAGCGCGGGTGAGGGGGCAATGCTATCGGGGGGGGGGGGGGGAGGAACTGGGCGAGGAGTGTCCTGGCCTTAAGAAGGAGCAGCGTCAGTGAAGGTGCATCATAGACATTCCACTTCCCAAGACCTGCTCCCTGGATCGGGTGAAAAGTGAAGAGAAGGAAGCTTCTTCCCCACCATAGGCAGCGGGTATCCTAGGCAACAGAAAGCATTGCCTTCCCAAACGGGCCCCGCCTATGCCCTGCCCTGTGCCATGCTCTCTGGAGCTCCGGGGCAAGGAGAGGCTGGGGGTGCTACACTGGGGCAAGGAGGGGACAAGGGCCAGCAGCCATATTGGAGGGGCAGCGGCCAGCAGCCACCTTGGGGAGGCAGGGCAGGAGTCAGCAGGCCACAGTGTGTGGGGGGGGTAGGAGGCAGGAGGGGGCAGGGGTCAGCAGGCCACAGTGGGGGAGAGGCATGGGCTCTGGGGGGGGGCTAGGAGAACTTGCCTCCCTAAGCCCTGGGATCACCCACCCACCCACCATGTTCCCCACTGCTCCAACAGAGGTTACTAGCTGAAAGCTTTTCCTTACTAGCATCTCCTGGGTCACTAGTGAAATACACCCAGGCCGGGGAGACCCTCCTCCTTGGAAGAAGCATGGGGTCTCCTTGGAGGGAAAGTAGGTCATGTCTGATGCACACGGCTATGAGTTACTCACAGGGAGTTTTAGGGCCAGGTCACAGGCAAGAAAACATTCCTGGCCTGAGACCTGTCCCTGCTTTGTACTGTGAACACCCCTGACTAAAGAAGAGGGGCTGTAGAAGGGTTTAGGGTGCTGCAGGGGCTCTGGGGAATGGGCTCCCACTGCTGCCGCTTCTGGGGAGGGGTGTGAGGCCCAGGGACCCACCGCTGCTGGTCACTGGATCACTGTTCCTGGGTCCAGCTGCCTGGGGCCACCCAAGCAGCAGCTGATTCCACCGGCCCTGGGATTGCCCCAGCAGCCTTGGGGCCAGCCGCTGCAGAAGTCACGGAGTTCTTGGAAAACGAGGGAATCCATGACCGCTGTCAAAGACATCCTTAATGATGGATTCCCGTCCTTCCAGGAGAGCAGCGTGTGGTTAAACCAATGCAGGTCAGCTGGTTGCGCGCACACAGGAACTACCCCCAGGAGGATGGTTTCTCTGGACGTAGGTTGTAGATGTACCAGGGATAGCCCCTGAAGGGTGCTTTCGGGATGCGATCCCCGAGATGGCACAGCCTGGCACGTCCTCTGGTGTCACTTATGGACCCCACACAATGGCTGGGGCTGAGTGGTGGTGGATTCTGGTCAGCTGGGGGGGAAGATTGTGTGTTCTGTGATTCCTCTGTGTCTTCGGGTGCACCTACACTGCACTCTAAACTCAAAATAAGATACGCAATTTGTCCTATGCAAATTGAGTATCTTATTTCCATTTTATTTCAAAATTGGCTATTTCAAAATGTAGCCTGTCTACACGGTGCCAAATGTCAAAATAATGCGCTATTTCCAGTCATCCCTTAACCCTCGCACAATGAGGTTTATGGGGATGGCAAAATAGCGTGTCCATTATTTTGAAAAATATTTTGAAATAACGGGTATGTTCCTTGGATGCAGGGTAGCTATTTTGAAATACCTCCAGCATCCCGAAATAGCCGTGTTGTGTAGATGTACCCCTAGAGCAGGGCTACTCAACTTTGGAAGCCGCAAGGGCCAAAAGGATACTCACAGCATATGCCAAAGGCCACAACTTAGTGTGGTTGCATATACATGCAAATATATATGCAAATATATGCAAATAGGTTCTTTCACACTGATGGGCATGAATACAAAGATTAAGGCAAAACTACACAACACGCAGGCCCCAAGTCAGTGCTGATGATATTAATAAAATGCAATATTTACCCATATGACAGCACTTTTCATGAGCAATGACAGACTAGGAATTTAACTACTAAAATGCATCTTAACAGAAGGCCATTATATTGACTCCTTTTTTTGTTTTGGCTCTCACTCACAGGCCGCATGTGGAGCCCAGTGTAAACCCAAACCGCACCACGGGCCACAAACAAATGGGTCATGGGCCATATGCAGCCCACGGGCCACGTGATGAGTAGCCCTGCCCTAGAAGGAAAATCACTCGGCTGGAAAATCACCCGGCTGGTGTCTAGGTCCTGTTGAGGCTGAGGCGGGACAGCAGCCCTGCATAAAGGCAGACATGGCCCCTTCCCAGTTTGCTGCTGTTTGAGAAAGACCAATAGGCATCAGGGCAGAGATTACAATGGCTGTAAATTCACGGTTGTGCCAAATCCAGCTCCGTGTTGCCTTTCTGGCATTGCACATTTCTGTACTGGTCACTGTGCCTCTCTTGGCTGGGACAGGGTGTATTGCCCACTGAGCAAGAGAGCAGGTGGCAGGCCTGGCTTTCGATAGTCAGGCCTAGAGGCTACAGCATGGGTCAGTTAGGTTTGTGAATGGGTAACTGGTTAAGAGGTTACCTGGTAAGCATCATCCTTAACAGGTGATGCTTACTGGGTGATGATTAACCGGTACCTAGGAGCAGCCCAGCCTCCTGCATGGGGCCAGCAGAACCCTGCCCCTCCTTACTCCCTTCCAGGCTGGAGCAGCTCCCCTACCGCAGGCCCCTTGCTGACTCAGGGCCAGCCTACCACATTTTGGCATCTGAGGCAGGGAGCTTAAATGACGCCCCCTCTCTTGGGCCAAAACTTTGAAAGGTCTCAATTCTGCCTTCTTCCTGTTCTACACTTCTCATGGTACCGCTCTGCTACCGACCCCAATAAAGGAGAACGAACAACTTAAAATGCCTCGTTCAAAAAGTGCGAACTACTGGCGCCCCCCCACAGTCTGGCACCTGAGACAGCTGCCTCAGTTCACCTCATGGTAAGGCCTGCCCTGCACTGACCCCTCTTTAACCAGTGAACTGGTTGGTAAGCATCATCCTCTACACTGGCATGACTTTCCGGAAATGCTTTTAACGGAAAAGTTTTCCGTTAAAAGCATTTTTGGAAAAGTACATCTATATTGGTAGGATGCTTTTCCGCAAAAGCACTTTTTGCGGAAAAGCGTCCATGGCCAATCTAGACACGGTTTTCCACAAAAAAGCCCCGATCGCCATTTTCGCAATCGGGGCTTTTTTGCGGAAAACAAATCTGAGCTGTCTACACTGGCCTTTTTCCGGAACAGTTTTCCGGAAAAAGACTTTTGCCCGAACGGGAGCAGCATAGTTTTTCCGGAAAAGCACTGATGATTTTACATGAGATCGTCAGTGCTTTTCCAGAAATTCAAGCGGCCAGTGTAGACACCTGGCAAGTTTTTCCGGAAAAGCGACTGATTTTCCGGAGTAACTTGCCAGTGTAGACACAGCCATAGTGTTTAACCAATTAAAGGGGATTTTACTCTTCTAGTCACAGGGTAAGTATGGTCCTGGAATAAAGATCTGGGGACAGGCTGGGGTCAAAACCAGAATCAGTGTCCATAGACAAGCCAGAGTGCAGACGCAGGCCAAGGCTGGAAGGCAAGTGGTCAGAGTGCAGGGACAAGGGCAGCTGATACCAAAGCCAGAGTCCAGATGCGCTAGAGGTCAAAGCCAGCTATTCAGAGTCTAACAGTTGGGGGGGTGGGGGTCAGACGTAGTGGCGAGGCTGGAGTGAGGCTGCTACAGGGCAGAGACAGGGCAGGGATAGGTGTGGGGGGGGCAGCTGGAGTGTGGTGCATTGTGAGGCTTGGGAGCATGGGGCCATCTGAGGCAGGTTCTGCCTGGTGATAGGTTCTACCGTGAGCCTGAGGACTGACTGGCTCCCTTCAGTGCCTCCGTCCTCAGCCTCAGCATGGCTGTGGGTTTGCCTCACTGCCCGTGTCTCCTGAGTTGGCCACTGGGTCATTTCCTGTAGCTCAGACATCTCCTAGAAGGGAGGGCCAGGCATTTTATGGGACGTGGCCCCTGGGAAGGACAGAGGGGAGCTCCCTGAAAGGACACGTCTCCTGCGTTGACAAGCCAGGTGATCCCCATGGACCGTCCATCTCCTCGGTCCAAGAGCAGAGGGGCTTTGTTCAAGGACTCCCCCCACACCCAGGCTGGGAAGAATGAGACTGTGCCTTTGTGCTTCCTTTGCAGGCTGATGCTAAATGCCAGCCAGAGGCTGATGTTTGAGAAGCTGGCTCTGTATTGCAACAACTATGCGGAGCTGATCCCAGTCTCCTTCGTGCTGGGTAAGGTGTGTGGGGCTGGGGAATGGGATGGTGCCATTGGGATGCCCTTGGAGAGGCAGCTAGCCCCTCCTCTCCCACAGATCCTGCCATGTCGGACAACTATCCACATGGGCTCACGTGGCCAATTCCACTGTAGGTTTCTACGTGGCCCTGGTGGTATCTCGCTGGTGGGGGCAGTACGAGAGCATCCCGTGGCCCGACCGCATCATGAACCTGGTCTCCAGTAACGTGGACGGGCAGGACGAGTACGGGCGCCTCTTGCGACGCACCCTGATGCGCTACAGCAACCTTTGCAGCGTGCTGATCCTCCGCTCCGTCAGCACCGCCGTCTACAAGCGCTTCCCCACCACCGAGCACATCGTGAGGGCAGGTGGGTGCCTCGCTGTCATTCGGGGGTAGGGGTTTGGCTGGGTTGAGGGGGGGAAAAAACAGTGGCAGGACTGCATGACACCGAAATTCCCCCTGGAATCCTCCTGCCTCCAGGAACAATCCATGAAACCCAAACGAATCCACCTGTCCCGAACAAGATGTTCAAGGACCAGGCAAAGAGCATTCTGGGCACAATCTTGTAAGGTGCTGATTGACTGCTGGAGGTGATGAGCACCTTCCTCAGGGATTTCTGGGGAACTGAGGGCCTCCGGCACACCCCAAAATTGCTCAGATTTGAGCCCTATGTCATTAGCCCCCTCGCAATCTCTACTGAGGAGAGACTACATCTTTGAGAAAGACCTGGTCCTAGCAAGTCATGTCTCCTGCTGAGCTTCAAAATAGCACCCCCCCCCCCATACACACACACGGCGTTATGTTCTTGCAGGGCTGATCCTGTGGCCTTTGCAGAGTTCGCCAGAAAGCCGAAGTTGCGGGCTCTAGTTTGCGACTGTAGGGCCCCTGTGGAGAACAGGGTTCTTGCTCCCTTTGAAGTCAGTAGCCAAACTCGCACGAGTCTGCATGGTCTCCTAGCCACACTGTGTTATTGTACTTCACTCATGAGCTGAGCTGAGCAATTCCGGGGTGTGCTGGGTGTCCTCAGTTCCCCAGAAATCCCAGAGGAAGGGGCTCAGAACCTCCAGCGGTCACTGAGCACCGTACAAGATTGTGCCCGGAATGCACACCACCAGAGAGCCAGCTGCCTCCTCTGCACTATGTGAGCCTTTGTCTCGAGAATCACAGGTCCGATGATGCATTCCCAAGGGGGGAAGGACAGAACCAGGTGGACAGTTTTAGCAGATAAAGGATATTTATTTATGACAGTGGTGAATTTATAGTATTTATTCGAAGATTTTTAATAGACCGTGTTAATAGTGAATTTACAGTATTTATTATACTTATTCTATGATTTCTAGTTAAACGTATCAGAGATAAAAGGATGGGAATGGCAAGGGGAATAGTCTCTATTCTAACAATATCCAGCTACACTAATTAAATAAGAGTGATAACTACAAACTCTATGTACTACCCAAAACAACTACAACACTAAGCTTATACAACAAAGAAAATCAAATCATACATACCAACTTACACAGCACACGGAACATTTCAAAGATATCGGTTTGGTTGCGAAGGCCTTGGTTATGCCGAGAGTCAGGGGAGGTGGCTGGTCGGTTGATCAGGCTGGCAGCGCTTTGAAGTTTACGGGAAGGCACACGCACGGTGGTACGTGTGTTGCGAAGACCTCCTTAAGCGAACTGTGCGATGGGTATTTATCCCCAAATCTGCACATCGCTTTCCCGTGCTTGCATATTACTATATATGGCCCAATGGTCACTAAGTGGGGGGTCTGTGTCCCAGGGGTTGGGCCGAAACTGTGCAGGTTTCATGAGACCAGGTAAGCCCCGCAGTTCTCACGCCAAGGTGACGGGTGGGAGAGTCTGAGGCCATTTCTCCCTTTTCACACCTTCCCTTTTTCTAAAGGCAATGGTATGCAGGAAGGGTGTGGCCGGTTTCTCTCAAGGAGTACTGCAGAACAAGAGCGGCCTGGCCAAACTTTTTTACGGGGGGTGGGGGAGCAGTTTCTTTTCTCTAACAGCCATGTCTTCACTATGTGGGAGATTGGGTAAATCTTCCGGAGTTTGATTTAGCAGGTCTAGTAAAGACTTGCTAAATCGAACCCAGAGGGTCCCCCCCTCCCCCCCCCATCAGCACCAGTACTCCTGCTCCTTGAGAGGGGTAAGGAAAGCTGATGAGATGTTTACTCTTAAGGACCTCCTGCTGTGGAGATGGCATGGAAACTCGAATTAAGCTACGTCGACTCTAGCTACGTGGAGTTGCATATCTTAATTCGACCTTCCCCCACAGAGTAGACCTGGCTTAAGTGGCGGGACTTGGATGGGCCTCCTGCAGTAGGCTGGATTTTGCCCATGATTAGTAATTGCTGTGCATGATCAGGCACTGTAAGTCATGCTGGGGGAGGAGGGCAGGTTGAGTGTTGACAATGTGGAGTGTTGGAGGAGGACAGAGGAAGTGCACAGTAAGGCTACGTCTGGACTACAAGCCTCTTTTGAAAGAGAGCTTCTAGACTGCAACCACTTCTTTTGAAAAAGAAAGCCACTTTCTTGAGAGAGAGCACCCAAGCAGTCTGGATGCTCTCTTTTGAAAAAGCCCTGTTCGCATTTAAGAACGCCTTCTTTTGAAATAGCACTTTTGAAAAAGGATGTTCTTCCTCGTAAAACGAGGTTTACCGTGGTAAAAAAAAACACTGCGTTCTTTCGATTTAATTTAGAAAGAACGCGGCAGCAGTCTAGACGCAGGGGAAGTTTTTTCGAAAAAATACCACTTTTTTCAAAAAAACCCTGGGCTGGGTCTAGACTGGCCAGTTTTTCCGCAAAATCAGCCGCTTTTCCGGAAAAACTTGCCAGCTGTCTACATTGGCCGCTTGAATTTCCGCAAAAGCACTGACTTATGTAAGATTGTCAGTGTTCTTGGGGAAATACTATGCTGCTCCCGTTCGGGCAAAAGTCCTTTTGTGCAAAACTTTTGTGCAAAAGGGCCAGTGTAGACAGCTCAGATTTGTTTTCCGCAAAAAAGCCCCGATCGCGAAAATGGCGACCGGGCCTTTTTTGCAGAAAAGCGCGTCTAGATTGGCACGTTTCCTCAGATCAGATAGTGGAAGAAAATAGTCACAACCATATATACCAAAGGATACAATTAAAAAAATGAACACATATGAAAAGGACAAATCACATTTCAGAACAGGAGGGGGATGCGGGGTGGGGGGGAAGGAAGGAAGGTAAGTGTCTGTGAATTGATGATATTAGAGGTGGGGAGAGTGGGATGTCTGTGAGCTAATGGTATTAGAGGTGATAATTGGGGAAGCTATCCGCAATTATCACCTCTAATACCATTAGCTCATAGACATCCCACTCTCCCCACCTCTAATATCATCAATTCACAGACACTTACCTTCCTTCCTTA